GCCCAAGTGCTTGGGTTCCTATCAACCCTGATGGGGTTCCTGGCTTCTGGCTTTGGACTGGTCCAGTGCTAGTAGTTGCAGGCATTTGGGAATGAACCAGTGGATAGATGTGTTCTCTCTCTGTGTGTGTGTGTGTGTCCATGTGTCTATGTGTCCCCCTTCCAAATAAATCTTTTAAACACATACACAGCAAGGAAGCTATAACTCCATCCCAATCTTTCATGTAGGTGGCAGGGACCCAGGTAGGTGAGCCATTACCTGCTGCCTTCCAGGGTGCACATTAGCAGAAAGTTGGATGGGAAATGGAGATGAGACTTTAACCCTACGGGATGCAAGTGTCCAAAGTGGCATCATAACTGATGCACTGAAGCCTGCTCTTGAATAGCTACTTTTAAAAAAAATTGTTTATTTATTTCAAAGTTAGAGTTACACAGAGAAGGAGAGGCAGAAAGAGAGAGAAAGGTCTTCTATCTGTTGGTTCACTCCCCATTTGGCTGCAATGGCTGGAGATGTGCTGATCCAAAACCAGGAACCAGGTCTCCCATGAGGGTTCAGGGGCCCAAGGACTTGGGTCACCTTCCACTGCTTTCCCAGGCCATAGCAGAGAGCTGGATGGAGTGGAGCAGCCAGGACTTGAACCAGTGACCATATGGAATGCGGGTGCTGCAGGCAGTGGCTTTACCCTCTATGCCACAGTGCCAGCCCCAAGAATACCTACTTTTAATCATTCCTTCATGTCTATTTGTGATTAAGTCATTAATATATTTGGAACATACTGTAAGACTCATAGGTAAGGAGGAAAGAAAATGGAAGATGTCAACAGCTAGTGTGAAAAACTTTATTTGAGTCTTTTTTTCCCAATCTGGGTACAGGCTATGGAATAGGGTTGGAGAGTTCCTTTTCAACCACTTTGCTTTATCCCCTTTCCCTTTAAACTTTAAACTAGAATTTACCATTGTAAAAGATTATGAAATAGGGGCTGGCACTGTGGCGTAGCTGGTAAAGCAGCACCAGTATCCCATATGTGTGCCAGGTCATGTCCTGGCTGCCTCATTTCTGATCCAGCTCCCTGATAACACACCTGGGAAATCAGCAGAAGATAGCCCAAGTGTTTGGACCCCTGCTACCCACATGTGAGGCCTGGAAGAAGCTCTAGGCTCCTGGCTTCAGCCTGGCCCAGCCCTGGCCATTGCAGCCATCTGGGGAGTGAAACAGAGGTTGGAAGACCTCTCTCTATCTCTGTCTCTCTCTGTCTCTCTCTTGCCCTCCCCCCACCTTGTAATTCTTTCATCTTTCTCTCTGTAACTCTGACTTCCAAATGAATAAATAAATATTTAAAAACAGGTTATGAAATTTAAAAAAAACTTCATGCTTAGTTTCAAAAAAGCTAAATCTACAATGACCAGGCCTTTTCCCTGAAAATAGTTGTTTCATCACTTTTATTTCTGGGAGAAACGCTTGGCACACAGTGAACTGGAATGAAAACATGAGACAGCAGAATGCCTCAGTACAGTGCAGTCTAAAACGTTCGTAGGCATTCTTTATGTAATAAGTAATGGATTAACTGGAAAACTGCCTTTAAAAGCAGAAGTTTTGGGCCAAAAGTGAAGGTTGGCCATGCACTTGAGAAATGAAGCAGCGAGAAGCAAAACCAAGAAATACCCAAAGGCAGATGTCTCATGGAAAGCTCCCATATAAGCATTAAATAAAAAGTCTCATTTAAACAAACCATACTAAACAAAAATTTACATTGTATATCTTCGTCAAAGTAGAGTTGGGAGGTGGTAAAAGGCAGCTCTAATGCATGCAATCCAAACAGAAGTGTAGAGAACAACAGACAGCTAGTTTTCCTTCATGACTTGTTGAGCTTTTTAGCCCCAAGTGGTTTCTCAAAGCCCTCTCTTGCACATTGCCAACATTTTCACGCGAACTAGACATTATGTGATTTAAAATTGTACATATATCAAGAGCAGAAAGTTGCTTTCTATGATGCAAAGGAGAGAGAATTTTGTGATTGAAATGCTTGAATTGTAGCTGAGAAATGAAACCATTTTTAAAATACTTTGTGTAAAAGTTTATATTCAAACATGTGTTAGGTTTGGGAAAGCTAAGTTTCAGCCGGGCTTCCAGAAAGTGGAGAGGCATCTGTGGCTAACCCCTTCTACGGAAATCCCTTTAAACCAGGACCTGGCAGGCATAGTTGGTGGACCTTACAACCACAACAGAGAATTAGATCATCTCTGGAAGAATGAATGATTACCAAATCAGATGGTTTTTCTTGGTTTGAAAAAAGGCCAGGGGAGAGCAGGTGTACCTCAACAAAGGAAATGCCAGTTAAAATATTTTACTTCACAAATTCTGCAACTGCACAAAAGGGGAGAATATGCTTTAGTTCTATAATTTTTAAATCATAAAGTAACCCAAATTAATAGTTGCCTACCGGGGCCGGCGCTGTGGCACAGTGGGTTAAAGTCCTGACCTGAAGTGCTGGATTCCCATATGGTCGCCAGTTCTAGTCCCAGCTGCTCCTCTTCTGATCCAGCTCTCTGCTATGGCCTGGGAAAGCAGTAGAAGATGGCCCAAGACCTTGGACCTCTGCATCCACATGGGAGACCCGGAAGAATCTCCTGGCTCCTGGCTTCAGATCGGCGCAGCTCTGGCCATTGTGGCCATTTGGGGAGTGAACCAGCGGATGGAAGACCTCTCTCTGTAACTCTTTCAAATAAATAAATTAAAAAATAGTTTCCCACCTAGATCCTCCAAATTTTGTTTGCATGAGAATTGGAATACTGACACTGATCTTTTCCCGTCCTAATGCATCTTCAAATTTTGATCAACTGTTCTTTTCTATACATATTCATTCAGTAAATATATTCTAGAAAGTGTTTGCAGCTTAATTCTTACATAAGATTCACAAATAGGTTCTTCAAAAACAAATGCAGAGTGGAGTCAATTTTTTTTTTAAACTAAGTAACATCTTGGAAAATACTTTGTCTTCTTCCTCCATCCCTGTTGAAAAGAAGTCATCTTTGTTTAACTTGGGATATGCTAGGGAATGCTAAAATACTGGCCTATTATATAATTGTATACACTAAGAAGGGCCAAATCTTGTTTCAAGAATCTCTAAATGAGCAAATGTGTGTACATCAATGTCCTAAAGATCAAATGACTGAAGCCTGTGGTACCGGCATACAGAGCGACTTCAGGGAGCCCTGACTCATGGGAGTCACACCCTGTATAGTTTCCTACCATAATGAACAGGGGTGACTCAGGTAACCTGTGGGATGTTGTGGGAATAACTGCCTATGCTGTCTCATAAAAGCAAAACACTGTGGCTTCCACTTTGTTTTCTCTTGCATGCTTGCTTTGGAGGGGACCGGTTGACATGTCATGGTGACAGTCAAGCAACCCTACAAAAGTGTGCTCAAGAAAAGGAGCCGGGCCTCCTTCACACAGCCAAGAGGGCCATCTTGAAAGTGGTTCTCCAAGCCCCAGATACTTGCAATCACATGAGACTATGAAGCAAACAGCTCGTGGATTCCTTCCCAAATAATACATGTTTATTATTCTAAATCACTAAGGTTGGAATAATTTGTTAGTCCAGCAACACAGTACAGTCTTTATTCCTCCAATAAATGAGTACTAGTAGCAAAACAAATGGACATGGCCAACTTAAGCCATTTACAAAGTCGATGGGCTCTGCAGTTATTAATACTTAGAAGGAGCGTGGGTTCCATTTAGTTCCTTCTTTCTCACAGTGTTGTACCAAGACCACTAGCATTGAGTTGTTAGAAGTGCAGAATCTCAAACTCCACCCCAGACCTACAGAATTGGAATCTACATTTTAAAGAAATGACAGGTAAGTAGACAACCCTTTGAGAAGCACTTATTTGACCTCACAGATAGAAAACAAACAAACCAAACTTCCCATCCCCTGAAATTCTGATCTAATTTGTCTGGGTTGAGGCTTATCATTATACTGCAGAATTCGGAAAAACTTCACTGAAGCTTCAGATCAGCCCTGACTTACTTCCCAGCGTGCTCCAGTTCTGGTTCTAGAAGTCTAGCATGCCAGGTGTCCCCAGAACTACTGTGCAGGAGGCAGGGAACTTCTGGGGTGTTTTTGTTGGGGGTGAAGGGAGAGGCGAGGGGGAGAGGGATAGGGGACAACCTTCCAGAGGCTGAAGACGGTGTTTCTGCTTTATACATGCCTTCCAGGACCACTATCATTTCACGAAAAATGTCTATGCCTTTCTACTTTAAAGGCCAACCTGGAATTGCTGTCTAGGACCACTGGGAGAATCAGCTGTTGTTAAACCGGAGTGTCACGTATCAGGTTAGGATCAAATGTCTGTGGACTTCATCTTTCTCGCGTGGCAAAAATGGAAACAACCGGTTTCTCACAAGTTTTTGGAAAACACGCTTTTATTATTGAGCAGACAGTATAAAACTCAATGGCCGCTGAGAAACGTTAGTACTTAAGCATTAAATACTACCTGAATGCAAGCGGCTGGGGGGAACAGGTGCAGGAATGCTTGCTTTCCTTTCCTGCAGCATCCACAGTGACGGAAACAATGCCTGGCACGTGGCACATTCTCAATAAATAATTGTTGATTAAATTAATTCCTCAGAACCCTGTAACTTCTGATCGCTCATTCATTCAAAGTTCCTGAACGCGCCATGCTGGCCAATCTGCAATGGGAAAAGCGTGGAGACAGCTTTCTCAGCGGATGTTTAAACAAAGCACCCAATCGGCTTTGTAAAAAACAGGAGGTTCATGTCTTGCCCAAAACTCCATGCTGTGTTTCGGGTTCCTGCCCTGGTCTGGCCTCGGTTCCTGGGGGGCAGGCAGGCTCGGGGATGCGCTCGCTGCCCTTGAGTCTCCTTCCTTTGTAATTTTCTGGCCTGCGCGTTCCGTTTCCCCGGCGGAGGAGCGCGCGCGCCGCGGCTGCGCTCACCCGCGCGCTGCGCCTGGAGTGGCTGCCGGGCGGGCGGGGCCGCCAGCAGCGGGAGGAGCTTCTCCAGGCGCGCCGGTCGGCCGGCCGGCGCACTGCCCCTAGCCCACCTCGCCGCCCTGCCTCCGAGGTTTGGGCATCCCCCTCCCCCGGCGGGGGCGGCAGGCCAGGAAGCCCCCCTCCAGCCCTGACAACGGCCAGGCCGCGACGTGGGGCCCGAGCGCGCTACCGCTGCCGGGTGGGCTGAGGCGGCCGGCTGCGTGGGAGGCGGGCGCATTCATTATTTTCCGCTAGGGCCGGGCTCTGTGGGAGGAAAGGGCCCTGCGCGGCCGGCTCAGCCCCAGAGGGCGCGCGCTCAGCCGGCCAGGGCCAGGCTCGAGTGAGCCTGCGGCGAGGCCCCCAGGACCCTGGCGGGCGCGAAGCCCCCAGCCCGCCGCTCCTCGCCCACGCTGTCTGCCCTTCCCCCTCGCTCCCTCCCTTCCTTCCTGCCCCTCCGCGTTCCCGGGAGCTGGCGGCGGGCGCGCCCGAGCTTTGTGTGCGCCCGCGGGTCGGGGGCGAGCCTCTGGCGGCCCAACTTTGAGGCTCCGGGCCGGCTCCGGAGCTGGAGTTGTGAGGCGTGGCTGGGGGAGGGAGGCGCTTGGGGGGGCGTGGGACTCCCCAGCGGGCGGGAGCCAGGCGCGCTGGACAATGAGGCGGGCGGCGCTGCGCGGCGGCCGCTTTTAGAGGGGGCGCGGGCGGGCGCGTCGGCGGCGCAGCGGCTCCACCTGCGAGCGGAGGGCGGGATGCCAGAGCCAGGTGTCCCGGCGCTGTAAGGCCCCTCGCCGGCAGCCGGCCCCTCGCGGCCTCTCGCGTTGCCGCTGGGCTGCCTGGAACGCTTTCCGCAGGGGAGCGGCTCGAGCTGCGGCGATGGCCAGCACCAGGAGTATTGAGCTGGAGCACTTCGAGGAGCGGGACAAAAGGCCGCGGCCGGGGTCCCGGAGAGGGGCGCCCAGCTCCTCCGGGGGCAGCAGCAGCTCGGGCCCCAAGGGGAACGGGCTCATCCCTAGCCCGGCACACAGCGCCCACTGCAGCTTCTACCGCACGCGGACCCTGCAGGCCCTGAGCTCGGAGAAGAAGGCCAAGAAGGCGCGTTTCTACCGGAATGGGGACCGCTACTTCAAGGGCCTGGTGTTTGCCATCTCCAGCGACCGCTTCCGGTCCTTCGATGCGCTCCTCATGGAGCTCACCCGCTCCCTGTCAGACAACGTGAACCTGCCCCAGGGGGTCCGCACCATCTACACCATCGACGGCAGCCGGAAAATCACCAGCCTGGACGAGCTGCTGGAAGGTAGGAGCCGCTGGGAGGTGGGAGGGGCGGGCACAGAGCGGCAGGTGCGGCCGAGCGCGCCGGCAGGTGCAGCGACCGCGGGCCTGCGCGCCTTCGCCCGCCCCGCGCCGGGGCCAGCCAGAAGGGTGCTTTCTGTGCGACCTCAGGAATTGCATGCTCCTATCTGCAGCTGCTCGGTAGGTTTTGTGCGTGGGACCGAGCGCCCACACATATTCTGACTTTCCTTCCCAAGAGATGTGCCTTTAAGAAAGGCGGGTGGGATGGCGACCTGAGGTCAGAGGCAAATTTAGGCGTTGGTTGGTACCTTTTTTAGATTGGCAAACTTCTTTCTAGCCAAGTGCAAACTATTTGAAAAATGGTTCTCCTGTGAGGATCTGGGTAATCACCTAGGTAGTAAGCTCTAGCTGTGTGGACCCCGGCGCAGGCACCTCTGGTTTCCACACTGGGGATCTTGTTGCACCTGTTCCACTCAGAGGTGAGTACTGTGTGGGCCTCACTTGCAGAAGCTACGTGAGGTCAGGGAGAGTGATCCTAGATAGCAGGTGTCAAAGTTGGCTGTATCTTGGGTCTTAATGGGGGCCTTAGAAATTAGCGTTGCCTGACCCACCACCCCCAGATATCCTGATGTAATTGGTTTGGGGTGTGGCTTGGATATCCGAAGTTTTAAAAGCTCAGGTGATTCTAATGTGCAGCCAAGATTGCAAACCACTGTGCTCTAAGGAGTGTCCAGCTTGGGTTGGAAATGAGGTGGAGCAAGGTCAGACTCTACTGCATCCTCTCCTTTTGGGGTAGCCAATTAGAATGCTAGAGGCCCTTGTACTCAGCAGCTGGGGCCTGTTAATTTGTAGTGCTGGGGTGTCAATCATATGTGACTCAAAGTGTCATTTGGCTGCATGTTAGATCATTCTTGAATTCTTGAATATTTACTCCTCTTTGCTTTCAGGGAAAATAAACAGGGCTAGCAGTTAAGCAGCACCTGGAAAGAGTAGGTGGGACTCAAGTAGGCGTTGAGTGTGTGTTTGCATATAGTTAGCCCCCATGCCTCCTTCTTAATGCGCATGGCACACCCAGCATCAACAATATTGGCTAGGCAAGGGGAGGAAACTGGACATGCAGCCTCTTGACTCTCCCAAGTTCTTATGTTAGGCTTCGTCCCTGTTGTGCAGATGAGGAAACTTAAGCAGTGTGCCTGTCACGCGGTGCCTGCAGCATTTTTAAGCACCTTCAGCTACAGTTCACCCCCACTACGTTAGTGGAGCCATCCTGAGAAAGCCCCAGAGTGATAGTTATCACCTGTTTCCCCAGCCCTGGCTAGATAACAACCAAGCCAAAATGAAGTGTCACTTCACAAAATCTCTTGGTCAGTTGTGTGTGTGGGTTTTAAAGACTTCTGGTAGAGATGAAGTTATCTAAAGGAGTGTAAATAAAAGGAAGATACAATGTTAAAAGGACCTTAATCACCTTAAGTACCAAAAAAGCAACCTTTGCCCAGATAATTTGAAACAAAGTAACCAGGTTTCTGACTGACCCAAGGTCAAATTAGCAGCCAGCAAGGATTCAGGCAATGCCTATTGCTTAAGCACTTCATACTCACATGCCCTTTGGATACTGTGTGGTCTCTGAATGGCCAACAATTTTAATCTTTTCTCCAAAGTAGTTTTAACAATATTTGCGACATACATAACACTAACATACTTAAAAGTGAATATAATAGGGGAGATGATCAAGATGACCACTGGGCTCATTCATTAATTAGAGTGCATCTTATACATTGAGCCTGTCACTGCCCAGGAAACACATGGCCCACTGGGTCTAACTCTCAAAGTGCAATTTAAACCACAAATTGACAGTTGACAAATTTCCTCCAAAAAATTGTTTCACTGATTTTTGGAGGTCAAATTATATAACAATAGGATAAATAATATAGTTAGTACAACCGTCTATAGCATTGCCCATGTGTTTCAAGCAGTTTTTAAATATTGCAACAGAAGAAAACTGAAAATTTGGGAAGTCACTTTTTTTGGTCATAGAATTCTCTTGATGGTGAATCTTTGTCTAATTCTTGAGTTTTCCACAAAATTAGTGGAATGCTGATACTTTTTTCAGAAAGGAATTGTCAGTGCTCAATATCAATCATTCCAGAATGTATGTAGATCCAACTTTTAGTTAAAATCGTGTGCTCAGATATTTATCATCAAGAAATCTAAAGTTATTTGCATAGATAAAAATAACTAATAGTGCCCATAGTGTCAAAATTGAATGCGTTATTTGACCTTGGTTACCATTTTTAAATAAAGATTCTCCCAGGCATTATATTGCAACTTTGTGTTTGGCTATTTTTTTTTTCATCCTATGACATTATAGCTTAGGAGATGCTGTCCCGCCCCCCCCCCAATATAAAATAAAAAATGATGACTCAACACCACAATGACAGGAATGTTCATTCATTGCCACAGTCCCATTGTACCCAGATGACAAAAAATTTGTGTGACCCAGATTCCCTCCCTGCCCTTGACCTTGAGATTCTCTGGAGACTAAAAGCTATTGAAATGTTAGCTGGCACTCCTCCAGCACTATGCTAAACCAATAGGCACCTTTGGTTTGTTGGTTTACCCACCCATGCTGGATTAACTTCACTGAATTGAAGCTGCGAGTGCCTGTAATCCTGGAAGGGGACCTCCTCTTGCACTGTGACTCCTGACTATCCAAGCTGGAGAAATCGGGTTGAGCTGTCAGAAGCCAGGAGCCAGCTGAACTCAGACTCTCTCTCTTGTAGACACCTAAGGAGGTCCGAGGACTGACTTGGAAGGTGAACTCCCTTCTTAGTTCTGTTCCACAGGTCTTCTCCCCTTAGGAACATTTTGGCTGTATTTGTAAGGTTTTTATGTCCTGCAGAGATGAAATCAAGGAGAGTAGAATGAGGGCTGCTGGATTCTTCTGACAGAGGATTTGAGAAAAATCATCTCGGCTGTCAGTGTCCTTTTCTGTAGAAGGAACTGTTGGCAGGTAACCCCTCTACACTGGGTCACCTCTCACCTCTGATCTCTACGCTCCTCTACCTGAGTGGTTATTTAGAGTGTATGATGGCCGGGGTGTCCTCTCCCTGGCCAGGACCTGTCTTCTAGAAAACTGGTGAAACAAAAAATGTTCCACCACCACCCAAGTGTGGCTCTGAAGAAGTGTTTGCCAGGAGTCAAAGAAATTGATAATTACCTATCTGTGTCTCATTCAAAAGCAAAATGGTGTTTCGTTATTTTTACCTTTTATCTCAATAAATGGGAAATAAGCTGATTTAACTTTTGGCATGTGGATTTTGGTTATTTTGAAGTTTTGGTTGTTTGGTTATTTTATTCATTAATTGAGCATTTAAGAAAAATAAGGTTGTAAAGGAATCAGACACTTGATTTTTTTTGACAGGCAGATTTAGACAGAGAGAAAGGTCTTCTTTTCTGTTGGCTCACCCTCCAAATGGCCACTATGACTGGCGCGCTGCGCCGATGCGAAGCCAGGAGCCAGGTGCCCCCCCACCAGTCTCCCATGCGGGTGCAGGGCCCAAGCATGTGGGCTATCCCCCACTACCTTCCTGGGCCACAGCAGAGAGCTGGACCAGAAGAGGAGCAACTGGGACAGAATCTGGTGCCCCAACCGGGACTAGAACCCGGGGTGTTGGTGCCACAGGTGGAAGATTAGCCTAGTGAGCCATGGAGCCGGCCGACACTTGATGTTTTGAAGTTCTCGGGCTAAACCTAGTTCACTGTATCTGGTCAGTCTCTTGAAGTTGTTCAGAAACCAAAATACAGTTACTGAGTGAGCATGCAGTAAACCTACACCTCTACCACATTATACCTAGTTTGTGTTACTCCCCCTGAAAGGTAGACTGCTATGGTTATAATAGAAACTGAGCTTTTGGAATTTGTTGTGGTGATGCAGGAAACCTCCACCCTTGAGTTAATAAGATATTAGAACCAGAAATCAGAAGCAGTACAAATTAAAGGCATAAATGGCAGTTTAACTTTGGCAGGTAAAGAAGGTTTTATAAGATTCAAATTCTTTGATTTCTTAAACCTAAATCAAGTATCACTTTCTTATAAATACTCTCACAGATATGTAGGCAGTGGACATGCTATATGCTAGGCATTTTTCCAAGTGCTAGAGGTATGTTCTCTCCACTAAAGAGCTCACATTCTGAGAGAAACACACACACACACACTCTGAATTAAGCTAAAGTGCTGTAAGTGAAATGGAAATTAAGCAGGGGCAGGAAGATCACATTGGCCATAGTCATGGAGAAGGCTTCCCAGAGGAATGGACATTGGAGCTAAGACCTGAGGCTGGGTTTATAACTTTGCTCTGCATACAGTTATTTTCTTTACTTCTATTGTAGTATAATTAGTGTTACATAGGGACTGGCTTTTGCACTAGACTGAAAGCAGTCTAAGCTGAGAGATCTTGAATGCATTTAAATTCATTGATTAAATGACCCAGAAAATGATTTTTACTTTTAAGTCCCTTGGTTGTCAAGGAAATTTTGTATGAATTAAGCTTGAATAGGGGTGTTCCTAGGTATCTGTGAAAGTACCCTTTTTGAAAATTGGACTGTAGTTTAGCTAAATCCAAGATTTAATAGCGGGGAGCTCCTGGCTGACTCACTGTTGTGAAGGAGTGACTCTGCAGTAAGCCCTTCTAGAAAGCTGAGTGTGCGCCTCAGTTCCCGAGACAGGGGCACCCGGATTCGGTGGAATACAGGGGCAGGAGAAGCTCTTCCCAGAAGAAACGGGGAGAGGAATTCCCATTTGCAGAATAGATTGTTCTGGAGGGTTGGTGGCAGGATGGGAGTATTTGGTGGAGCCTTTATGAGTTTACAGTATAAAAAAGTGATCCTCTGGAAGTTATTGAACAAGATCAATATCTGATGAGGTTTTAAGTTATGGACATAGATATTTGATGGTCCTGTTAAAGGAAGTAAAAACCTACATTCCTAAGGGCAGCAATTGTCACAT